GAAGTACAATAAAATTATGGTAAAATTTCCTTCCTTTAATGATATTGTTTAACCAATAAACAGAACCCATGTTTTATCATAGTTTAATTTAACTTTTATGAATATTTTTCGTATGAGACTGACCGCAACAAATATGTGATAAAAATTTTATCACCTGAAATAGTGTAATAAATTACTTGCATTATATTTTCTATGATAAAGAAGCACACATGGTTTTTTATCAGCATGACCAAAACGTATTAAAATTTAATCTTCTCCAACGCCTCCCGGAATTATTCCAAAGGTGATTTATGTGTCTACAACTATTTACTGATGCTCATTACAACAGTTTATAAAAAACAATAGGTTCGCAAAGGAAAAAGCACCCTAGAAATATAAGAAAGAATATTTTTTGTAATATGGATTAAAATAAATGACAAAATTGTTTAAGACTGTCGACTCTATTATGAACTTTTATTATAATGAAATGTATTGCTATATCTGCATCAGTTTCTCCAATATGATTCCCTTTTTTAATTAAAATCTCACATTTACAAGAGAAAGTTAAAAATATGTGTATAAAGACGAGAGACAGCATGTAGTAGTAATTGTGAAATATAGCAGACTGCATTTTTTTTCCAATTAATTTAGACACATTCGTCATTCAATGCCCACATCATCTGTTTATGGCTACCTTGACTTATATTTCACACACAAATATGCTAATAATCTACCACATGGTACAACGTTGGTTATGCAACGGAATACTAGTATTTACCGATGCAAAGTTGAGTTGTCTTGTATGAGTATACGTAAGAAATAAAAAATATAAAAGCGAAACAACTCAATTAAACAACACACAAGTTGATTTACACTAAAATAATCTTAATTTTAATACTTCTTGAAATACGAAAACCAAATTTACCGACAAGAACCTACTTTGAAAAAACTACACATTAAGGTGAAACGTTGATGTCGGTTTTTGTGGATGAAATAACTACCTAGTTATAAATTTGAAATTATATATTCATGTACAGTAGAATCCGCTTATATCTAAGGATATACATATAGGGATGTCATACAAAGCATAGAAAATAAACAACTTTCTATTTTGGTTAGTTATTTAGTTTACTAGAGAGAAAAACTACAAATTGTATATATTTATTAACAGAAAAAGAAAAAGAACAATAAATTGTGATATCCATATACATAAGAAGGGCCAGAAAAATGAACGAAAATATTATTATTGATCATTTGGGTCACTATAGCCGAATATTATTTCCTGAGAATCAGTCATAATAAACGATATGTCATTTTAAACGGAGTCATTATATCCAAACTCATATAGAAAATTTAATATGAAAACCAAACTTAACACTGGAATTACTTCATATTAAGCGGTTGGTCAATATAGACGGAGTCATAATAAACGAATTCCACTGTATATCAGAAAGTGTTAACATTGTTTGAAACTAATTAAAAATTTTGATTTTGTTCTGGATACAGCTCCCTCCAAAGCAACAAGTCGCTCAACACACCACCCTTCAGAGGCACGTCAGAGCCCATCGTAATGTCCATATCCCTAAATTTCACTTTCCCGCGGGTAAACCAAGTCCTCCCGGTCATCTTGAAGCGGTTCGTGCTCGGGTTTCGGTAGCGTTTGCTAACATAGGAGAACGGGCTTCCAGAGAACATTTCGAACAAATAGTCAAAGCTTGTCAATTACCGCTGTATTGGAAGACTCCCCTTTACCTTGCCGCATGTGCCGACAAAGGGTCCTGTACATTGGAACAATTCATGCAATTCTGGACAGGGTAAGTTCATTTAACATTTGTACAAAAGTAACGTTTGGTGCGCGGTAATTTAGTTGTGATGTTTACTGTTGATTTTAATTTCTTTTTCCTTACTTGAGATGTCGCAAATTAAATACGTTAGCATACGATTATCACCACAAATATGCGCTGTTGTTTTTTGTTCTCGTTCAAACAGCAAAAATGTAATTAATAGGTGTAGCCGATGTCTGTAATAAGGAGTGCTTTTATTGTGTACGAGTTGACAATGTTAGTTATAGCCTTCGCACTCCAAACAATGGGTTATAAAGCGGTGAAGCATAATAATCGGTGAATTTTTTATATGTACCTAGTATTACATCACTTGTAGGTCCTATCATAATGACACAGAAGAGATAATGATCAAATTTTTAGAATGTTCGTAACAGATAAATTTAAACACGATTTTTGATGTGTATATACAAATTATTGTTTTAAAAGGTTTAAGCGTAAAAAAAGGTGTATTTTTATGAACACTGAGTGTATCATAAATTTACGAAAAATTGATTTAAATTTTAGCCATTCACAACTATGTATCATGAAAAGAAATGCCCGATTCCTCAATATTCTTTATAGAGAGTTTAGACTTTAATCTATCAAATTAGGATATTAAATGTTTTGTTAAGTAAAATAAAGATACTGGTATGCAAGGGAAGGAAAAGTAGGGAAAGAGCGAATATAAAGATAGGAGACGAAAAATTAGAAGAAGTGGCCGATTTTAGGTATCTAGGAAGTCAGATAAGTCAGGACGGAAGAAGTACTAGAGATACAAAGCAGAGGATAGCGCAGGGTCGAGTAGCCTTCAATAAAAAGAAGTCACTTCTATGCTCGTGAATGGTTAATTTAGAAATTCGAAATAGGTTATTAAAGGTGTATGTTTGGAACACGGCGCTGTGCGGGTGCGAAACATGGACAGTGGGAGCGGCGGAAAAGAAAAGGTTAGAACCGTTCGAAATGTGGTGTTACGGGCGAATGATGAGGATACCGTGGATAGAGAAGGTTAGAAATGAAGAGGTATTAGAAAGAATAGGAAAACAGAGGACTCTATCGAAGTCAATAGGAAATATGCGAGATAGGATGGTAGGACACCTTCTCAGGCATGAAGATCTTCTAAGAGATATATTAGAGGCAGAAACAGGAGTTAGGAGGAGTACATGTAAACCTAGATTAGATTACTGGTCTCAAATAGTTAAGGATATAGGTTGCTCTAGATTTAAGGAAATGCGAAGATTAGCGTATGATAGGAAAGAGTAGAGGTGCATATCCAACCAGTGTTAGGACTGACGACCTTATGATGATGATGAAACGTTTTCTTGAGGCGTCTGTTGTTGAATTATCTTATTTTAATGTCATTAATGTGTAAAAGTAGATGTTTTTGTTATTATTGTTAGAATGGCAACCGCTTGTCATGATGCTGCATCTCGATTCGTGTATATGCTGACTAGAGGCCGTCGCAACTGGTTGGGCCCCGAAGACTTCATACCTCTCGTTCAAGATGTGGTTGAAACACATCCTGGTCTTACGTTCCTAAAAGAAGCCACCGAATTTCATTCGCGTTATGTTCACACGGTTATCGCGAGGATATTCTACTGCGTAAACAGATCTTGGTCAGGCAGAATTTCGATATCAGAACTCAGAAGATCCAATCTTCTCAACATCATCCAGCTTTTGGAAGAGGAGGAAGACATAAATCAAATAACCGCGTACTTCAGCTACGAGCACTTCTACGTTATATACTGCAAATTTTGGGAACTGGATAGAGATCACGATCTTTACATCGATAAACACGATCTGGCCAGACATAGTGATCATGGTAAGTGAAGAAAGTAATTTGTTTCCATAAAGACTTCCTTTCCAATGAACTTTAACCTTTCTCTTGTCTGATATTATCATGTAAGTTTAGCTAATTTGTGACTACGGCTTTCATTATCTTTAGTGGAGGTCATTTATCAAATTACGTTGGCCATTTCGGAAACGCAGCTAATCACAACGTGTTATCGGCTGTTTCAGCACTTTCGTTCCGTATAATCGACAGGATCTTTAGCGGTTGTGTGACCCGAGGTCAACGTAGAAACAAACACGACGAGAAGATGTCGTATACGGAGTTTGTGTGGTTCCTTTTGAGCGAAGAAGACAAAAATCATCCCACCGCAATCGAATATTGGTTCAGATGTATGGACATTGATGGTGATGGTTATCTGTCCATGTACGAGCTCGAGTACTTCTATGAAGAACAAATGCATCGTATGGACGCTATCGGAATTGAAACTCTTCCATTTCAAGTAAGTCAACTAATTAATTCAGACGCTCAATATACCTATGTATAATACTTCTTGTCCAAATAACAAAAGCCTATAGATTTTATCGGATAAACACTTAATAGGCGGTTGGAGTCAAGCTTTTGAATACTTTCCTTTAAGAATTAAAGGTGAACCAGGACAGCATTAGTTCACCAAATAGCCGCGAAATCTTTTACCTTGTTTTTTTTTTGAGGGGCCTGTTTTTCCTCATGAAATTTCTTATTAGTCTGGATCATCGATACATCGATCGTTGAAAACATGTACATAATTCTTTGTAATTTCTGGCGGGAACGCTGCTCCTCCATTGTTTCTGAAATAATTCTTTGTTCTAGTTCATACTTTTTGTTCCAGGACTGCTTATGTCAAATGCTAGATATGGTGAAACCAAAAGTGCCGGGAAAAATAGCCCTAAGTGATCTGAAAAAGTGCAAAATGACTTCGATATTCTTCGACACATTCTTTAATTTAGAAAAGTATTTGGATCATGAACAAAGAGACCCATTCGCATCACAACGGGAACACGATTACGATGGCCAGGAGGTAAAAACAATTAATTTGTTATCCCCGAAAGGTATTTTTGAATGAAAAAGTAAAAATAAATGTTCTTTACAGATGTCCGATTGGGATCGATATGCCGCTGAAGAATACGAATTATTGGTTGCCGAAGAAGGAAATGATCAACCCGATAGTCTGTAAGTATAAAAAAATATAACACATATTTCAGTTTAGAATGCAGTTTATGAATTTACTGTTACAAAATATTCACATTCACGTTTGTATTTAGATATATATGGAAGAGTCTATCAGTTATTTCTTCCTGTACTTCTTCTTGAGGCGTAAAATTCTTAAAGTAATAATTACCTACACATTCTTTGTTTTTGGAAAAGAGAAAATATGTATCAGACTCACATTTATTTATTTTAAAAATTTTACGCTTATATTATACCTATTGTATAATAATAACTATAGTTAGTTCTTTTTGTTCGGTTTTATTTGTTTTGTAACTGTTTTGCTTGTATTTAGGGAATACGAGTGTGGATATGATAGGGTAAGGTTCGCTTTTATGTTTTTTGCACATGCAAAAATGCAAATTTGCCATCGACTTCCTTACGCACACTTCATTTCATACTTATTTTACATTTAATAATACAACTGACCAAAGCTAGTTCAGCATGATCATGGATTTTGTATTTGCAATAATATTGTTTGGTTTGATTGGATTGCATGAAGAGCTTTTAAACAACGTACACCTAATTCTTTTATAGTGAACTTACTTATAACGAACAAAATTTCTATGTTGTGTACGCAAAGGCGAATGTAGGGGGGGGGGGCGACGTGGGAAATGCTTACCCTACAAATCTCATTATCCAACCTTTAAAAAATTAGCGATATGTTTCTGTATTTATTTTTTATCCTGAGAAAAGGATTCAAAACTCCTCTTTTAATAAATATTACCAAAATCGTCACTGTGACTGATCATACGACCACCTGCTGTATTCTCCTGATATAGAGGAACAATTTCTTTTGATTTTGAGACAGTTCATTATAAGCGGATTCCACTATAAAAAAAGTTGTATCCGCGTTAATTGCTAATAGTCTTGCATGGATTTCTGAAGTCATTACATGAACGTTTTACACTGCTAACACTATCATTTGGTTTTAGTATTAAATTTTCAAATTATTGATTAATATATCGATTTCTGAAATGAAAGAGTCTTTAAATTAATCATTTATATGTTCAATTTCCAATAGGAATCAAAGAAATATAATACAGCATAACTTTATGATAAGGATATTATTCCAATGCTCGTGAAATTTAGAGGGATATTTTAGCTTTCAGAATAGGTTTGTATTTGTACTAGTATAAAAAGTTAAGTAATTAGCAAATCGCATTACGAGTAAACCTAAAAAATTCAAAGGGGAAGATTTGAGTGTAGCTAGTTTTCTTGGTAAATTTTTAAAGGATATCTTTTATTAAAAATTCAATACAGAGGGTTCATACTGTCCTAATTCGGGTGTAAAACCGTCATCGATTAGAGTTGTTTCGCTAGTACGAGTGGCGAGCTTCTTCAAAAGCCTTCAACCTCCGATGTTCCAATCGACGAAGGCCTTTAGACCTGAATCAGGACAGTGTCAGTTCACCTCCTGGCTGCAAAAGGCTTTATCAATTTGCTAAGCAGAGATTTAATCACTGAAACTGAATTAATTACGAAAATTTTGAATTAATTTGAGTAAATTGCTTGATATGTCTGAACTAACATAACTGGAAAGCATATTTTGCACAATAAAAATTGTTTTCAGCTCATATGAGGACGGTAACGACGAAGACTTCCTCTCGAGCAACTTGGACGGTGTCTTGGAAGTCTCTGACATGCCAATCAGTGGTTTGTCTGATGAAAGTGATGAGTGTAGTATATAGCAGATAACAGACTGCGAATGTTGCCATATAGTTGAAACATAGAACACAAACAAATTTTGATTTCTAGTCCCTCATACAGCATACAAAAATAATTTCGTTTTTTATCTGTAACTTATTATATGTGTATAGTTTGTTAACATCGTTTGATATCTATCTACTCCTTTTTTTACTCGTTTTTAAATATGGTCAAATGACGGTTGTTTTTTCGGTTATTAACGTTTTATTTTTTTTTTTTTAACATTTTGTCAGGACTTTAGTACCTACCTAGGTAGGGACTCGAACGTTGTGTATGTACAGTGATTACATATGATTATCAATTAATATTATGGCAGAACAAAAATAATAATAACCCAGTTGAGTGCATATTTTTACACGGTAGTAGATTAGAAAAAAAATGATGATGAAATGCACAATGGAATCGAATAATAAAATAATAATAATATTAATGTATTACGTATATTGTAAGGTTTTTTTTTCGACATAATTTTTAACGTTTTTCTGTTTTCGTATTTGGCTATTATGACTAAGTAGTTATAAAATATTATTGTTACTGTATCATCTCATGTCTAGATGCTTCTTTAGCATCTATTGTCTCACAAATAAATACCACGGTTACGTAAAGAAAATAAAATTAAATAAATAACGTTCATTTGAAAGTATTTAGTAGTATTTAAGGTGTGTGAGCGTGTCTGTTGTATTATTACTATTACAATTACTATTATTAGAAGATTGTTTGTATTTTTTAAGCATTTTTAAAAATTATTATCATTTGACGTTTGTAGTACGTATTGGTGCAACTATTGTTACAGTAAATGATATAGTTTATTAACAATTATTTTACTTATAACGTTTTACTAGTCATTTTTATCGAGATCTATTTATATCGATTCTTGTGTAACATTGTATTATAAATTTGTTTATTCTAAAAAAAGTGCTGTTTTCATTCTAAACCCTTCTTATACTACTTATACTTGTGTTAATAACCATTAATTTAGTTCCATCTACTTATATCAGGTATTTATGTATATAAGTTTTAACTTTTCAATATAGAGAGCATCGATTAATAATTTAATCGATTAACTA